GACAAGCCTGTAATCTACCCAACCGATTAGGTTCATCAGGTTTAATGGATAAATATAGCTGAGTATCGTCAGCATAACAGTGGAAGTTTATCCCATGCTGTCTATATATATGCTGTATATATAGTAAAAAGAATTGGTCCAAGCACTGAACCCTGTGGTACTCCGCAAGTAACCCTGGAGTATGAAGACGATTTGTCATGTACATTTACAAAATGAATTCTATCAGACAGGTAGGATTTAAACCAGCCTAGCGCTGTTCCTTTGATCCCTACAACATGTTCAAGTCTTTCTAAAAGAACATTGTGAAAAAAGCAATAAACGGCTACAAACTGGCTTATTTTGTGAATTGGCCACATAAGCAACGTGACATCACGTGTAAAGAGTCAGTAGTGGATTAATGTTTATCCTTTAGCCAGCATCTTTAAAAATCTACAGAAATTTGCAACAACATATGCTAAACTAGTGATGGGTAGATGAGGCCTCGTGAAGTGTTTCAACACATTACCCAAACTATGGGTGTGTCTGAATCCACGGGAAGGATGCTTGTAAGAGTGCATTTTGAGGTCGATGACATCACAGTGCAGCGACGAGTACTGTCCGAATTCCAAGAATACTCATTCTCGCGTCCTCGCTCCGCCCACATTTCGAGGACGGGTCTGTTGTATCCTCACAGAACAAGGCTATCCCAGCATGCTTTGCACGCTGGCTGTGGATTTTCAACAGGAAGAAAAAATGGGGAGAGCTACGAAGTTTTAAACGTAAGTTTGTTAAAAACTAGCTGTAGAAAACTAAAAAGCTTAAAGCGGTTCGGTTTAGACATTTTTCGTTTGTATTTGTTTTTTAAATTAAATTTTAGGCAGAAATCAGCCAGAAGGAGTTTGTTTCGCAGGTCCCAGTTATTCCCGTGTGTGTGTGTGTGTGTGTGTGTGTGTGTGTGTGTGTGTGTGTGTGTGTGTGTGTGTGTGTGTGTGTGGTGAATTAACTTAGTCATTTGTTTTAAGGACAACGGAGCAAATAAGCGTTTTTATTAAGCTTAGAGGTGAAGAGTGAAGCTTTTTACACACAACCACAGAAGTTCTTCTGCGAAAAGTAGTTTTACATTCAGGGATTTACACAGCTGACACGTTTTTAAACAACAATTAAAATTAGTTTGTGTGAAGAATATAATTTTTATCTTCTCATGTGGATAAATGTAAAAATGTGTTTATTGCCTTTTTGTCACCTGTGGTCTGATTTTCTCTGTAGGACTGCAGGTGTCCAGGGTCAGGAGAGGCTTTACCTGGTGGTCCTCCTGGGAGAGAGGCCTTCTACTGTCATCATGTTAATGTTATTTAGCTGTTTGATATTTGAACACATTTATTAAAACAAATACTAACTGATAACTCTTTCTGGTCATTGATTTTATCACCAGTTTTATTATTACAGATGTTTTTGAACATGTTACATGAACAGAAAATGAAAAGATGGTAAGGAGACAAGATTATTTATAATACCATCCATCCATCCATCTTCTGAACCCGCTTAGTCCACGTAGGGTCGCGGGGGAGCTGGTGCCTATCTCCAGCATTACGTTAAACTTATTTACAGATCAAAACTAGTATGGACCAGTTATGTACGGTTAAAGCAGGATTAACCTGAGTGACTCTTCCTGGATCATTTATTTAAACTGAGTGAGCAGGAAGTCTTTAACAGTGCAGCTGGATCTACTGCAGGAGGATCCAGACGTGGATGGAGGGCTGGAGCAGACCTGTGGCTGGACGTTTCTGGCCAGAGGAACATCATACAGGACGGTCTGCAGAGAGAGCTTTGGGACGCTTCCTCTCACTGTCCACTCCATCGTCCATCTACAGGGCCTGCTGGGCTGGCTCAGACGACGGCTGTTGCGTCTCTGTGAATGACTTGCCTGTTAACAGTAGTGGTGGTCTGCTGGGACCTCCTGCAGGACAGAGCACCACTGACCTCCTCCACACACATCTTCCTCAGGCTCATCCTCCAGACCCACAACTTCACCAGCACTGATACAGATGTGCAGCACAGTGCATGCTGACCTGTAATAGATTAAATAAGAGTTTTTGTTTATTGAAAAATGTAAAACAAACATATAACCTGCAGTACACTGGTTCTGTTCAGTTTAAAGAAAAGCAGCAGGGAATAGTTAAATAAAAACTACAGAGAATTTACATTTTTAAGACAAATCTAATCATTATTAGGCTTAAGTAGAATAAACAAATGCACATTGAAAACACTTTGAGTGTAGCTGCCGCCACGACTGTAACGGGACCTACGGGCCACCGTAGAGGTGAAGGCTAGACTGTCCTAATTAAGAGCCGCTGCGTTCCAGTCTTAGCGGTCTAGCAGGGACCCGGCCTTGCTAGACCGGCAAGGACCCATACTCGTAAGCATCCTACCCGTGGATTCAGACACACCCTATGTCGATACCGTGTCAAAAATGTGTCACCATTTTGGACTACTGACACCTGCTGGATTATAATCATCACTGCAAGCAAACCTAATGGCGAGACTCTACTGACATCAAGTCCCGGTGGACTGTTTATCCAATTTGGGCCAGTCCGGTCCGCACCCCCCACCCCCAGCCCACCGATCTGACGCCCGGCGAGACGGCCAAATTCTCACTCGTTTCTCGGTGATGTATCAGTATTATTTTATTAATGTATTTAAGTTCAGTTTAACAAATTTGAGGTTTAACCTGAATTAAATAGTATGAATGATTTAAAAAGAATAATTAGAAACAAAATTCTGATGGATCAAGCAGAAACTGAGAAGAACAGAATGAAACAAGGATATAAAAACAAAAAACTTATTTGCCGATACAAGAACAAAATGATCCCTCATGAACCACCTTGCATTTTCTTTCTGGCTCCTTGATGTAACAGTGGAATCATTTTGCTTCAAAAGTTGTACTTGTGTCAGAAACTCATCCCGTTGACGGGGGGAGACGCTGCTGCATTTAAACACAGTTCAACACTTCACTGACGAGTGACACAGCAGCTGTATCAATCACGTAACTACTTCTTAATGGTACACACACCAACACGGGTGTTGCTGTAATGAGCCAGATACATGTGCCGGTGCGTCCGTGTTGCTGGACCCATCACTATGCTAAACAACTGTTATAGACTTTTACTATCAAGACCTTTTTACCTTGACTCGACCTGGTTCGGCCCAGTTCTAAAGCCTTTCGTCACGTAATTGGTACCAGCTTCGCTGTGGTTCTCAGCATACCAAGATGGGCCAAAAACATAATTGGAGACTGTGGGTCACCAAATGCGTTGAGTCTCTGGTTTCCCCAGAATTTTCTGCCTCACTTCCACTTTTTTGGAAAAAAGTCACAGACTAAGCAGAATGTTCACCATTGCTACCATGTCCGCCATCGCTGAGGTGTGTGTGTGTGTGTGTGTGTGTGTGTGTGTGTGTTGCATACTGACCAACGCTCGCTACTTTTCAAACTCAAACAACACAAGTAAGATGCTCGGTCACTTCTGCGAGGTAATGAAGAACCCTCAGGAATGTTTTGAGGCGGTATGAAGTTCTATTACAAATGTTGTTTGTAAAATGTCAAATCCCGGTGAGATACTGGCTTTACCAAAGTGTTTGGAATGAGGTACATGATTTTTGAGTGATGCTGATTACAATCATGATTTCTCCCTCTAATGGTTTTATCTTGTAGATCAGTGAATTAATATCTTTCTCTTTTAGAGAAAACTGAATATTGTTACAATAAAGTGATTGTGAAGTGATTATAGCTGGCCACAAATCAGTGCGTAGTTTAAAGCATCAAAAGGAAGTAGTTGCTGATTTGTAGAAGTAGCTCATCAGTTTTTTTGTGTTCAAATAGTGTCAGCTTTGCCTCATGCAAGAACTCTGAATGTTGCTACAGAAGGTTTTGTTTATTTGTCAGAGACCATGCTTGTGAACCAGAACACCAGTAACTGTAGTTTCCCTAGAAAAATCCTGTGGAGCTTCCTCGGAAACCGTAGGGGAGTGTGAAACTAGACAGCACACACAAGTGTTTGAGGATTAGGAGCTGCAGCAGTGCAGTCAGTTATGAACAGCCTGGTCATTTCAAAGGAAAAGGAAATACAAGAAGAACTCTGTAACTGTGTAGTTTAAAGCTTTTAGTCAGCATGAACCATTTTCTTACACAAAATATAAAATTTTCCATTTTTGTGTGCTGGCTGAGGCATATTGACGTAGTGGCGGAGCGTAAATCTTCAAAGAAGTCTAGTCATTTGTTTTTTCTTTGGTTCTTTGTTTCAAAAAACATTTCATTTTTTTAGTTTGGAGCCCGAGAAGTCTGTGAAGCATGCGTTGATATTTTGCAGCGCCGACAGTCCATTTTGTTTTAGTCACAACCTAAAAACATAAATAAGTCTCTTTAAAATGTCCACTCTGACATCTTACTTTAGATACAAACTTTGATTTCAATATGGACCGAGAGGGAATTAATTGTGATTTATTTCCTCCATAATTTAGCAGCCTTGGGTTTTTAAGCAAAGGAAATTAAGCTTTAATGTTTTGTAAAATAAATACACTTTTGATGCTTTATAAGGCATTTACCACATAATTATGAACCTCACTCACATCTGCACTGTTTAAAAATGGACTTCACAATATCAACTTCCGTACTATTGAGGTTCTTTTTTAAAATGTTTTTCTAATTTTTTATTCTCCCTGTGTCTTATTGATTTTTAGCTGTTAGTTTTGGGAATTTTGTTGTATTTCCTTTTTATCTTTTATCTGTGTTCGACATGTTTGTATAACGCCGGATTAATTAACTAACATTTATAGTGTACAGCGCCTGTTTGGTTGTAATGCCTTGTGAATGCGCTTTATAAATAAAATTGGATTGGATTGGATTTAAAGCTAACAGTAACTATGCTGTGTATCTTATCAGCCATATTTTTTAGAACAGGTGAAAGAAAACTTTTACGTGATGGGTTTAATCATGTATTTTTTGTTTGTTTGTTTGTTTGTTTCAGGAGTGAAGTTCTCCGTGGTTGAAGACCTTGTGTGTCCAATGCCATGAACTCATGAGTTAACAAAGGACCTGCTGGCCATTTGTTGCCACTCTTGGTCCTTCCTTCTTCCCTCACCTTGGCCCCTTCCTCCCTTGGATCCACCAAACAATGGGCCAGAAGATCTCAAGCAGCATAAAGTCAGTCGATGTACATGGGGAGCCCTCATACCAGCCAGTGCGGCGAGAACTACATGGTCCAGACTTCTGTCGGCCTCCCAGGCTAGACTTACTGCTGGACATGCCATCAGCTAGCCCTGAGATGCAACTGCGCCATGCATGGAACCCAGATGATAGATCTCTTAATGTCTTTGTCAAGGAAGACGACAAGCTGACCTTTCACCGGCACCCTGTGGCGCAGAGCACAGACTGTATCCGAGGCAGAGTAGGCTACACCCGAGGTCTCCACGTATGGAGGATTCACTGGCCAGCCAGACAAAGAGGGACTCATGCTGTTGTGGGGGTGGCGACTGCTGAAGCACCTTTACACTCTGTAGGCTACACAGCCCTGGTGGGCTCAGATTCTGAGTCATGGGGCTGGGACCTTGGCCGAAACAGGCTTTACCACGATGGAAAGAACAGACCTGTTTCTACATCTGCACCAACGTACCCTTCATCTCTGGAACCGGATGAGTCCTTTGTACTCCCAGACTGTCTGACAGTCATACTGGACATGGACGAAGGAACACTGAGTTTTATGGTTGATGGACAATATCTAGGAGTTGCTTTTAGGGGGTTGAAGGGCAAGAGACTGTTTCCAATCGTCAGTGCTGTGTGGGGGCATTGTGAAGTGTCAATTCGCTACGTCAATGGACTAGATCGTAAGTACAAAATTTGACACACACACACACACACACACACACACACACACACACACACATCCGATAAAAACAGTGTTTGTCCTACGTAGATCCACCCTGTCTGCCAACCACCTGCCTTCTCAATGCTAAAGCACAGGTATAAACCTGGTCCTGTTGTGAAAAAACACGTTTATTTCCTGGTGTATACAGTGGTGTGAAAAACTAGAGAATCACATTGATGGTTCTTTATTCAAATTATTTCAACAGATTATTGTCATAATAAAAATATGTATAATATGTTAAGGTCACTACAATACCCACTGTTAAACAGTTACAAATCGGAAGCCTGTGAGCACATTGTCCTACATGGTTCAAAAATGTTCTGCATGAGACACCCCCACATCTGCTAGTTTGGCAGGCGTGGCTCTAAAGTTTTCTCAAACACTCATCTATTAACAGCTATTTTTACAAAACAACGCCGTCAATTAGCCACAATGCTGCGGCGGCATCAGGGAGCCTTAGGTCATTTAGAAGTGGTCAGAAAGTGGCGGGAATGTGGCGCAATCGTGTCCTTTTTATAAAAGATTAGGCGATGGCGATGTAAAGGGGGAATGGGGGCGGTCTCTGCACTGCCGCGGACTTCCGTTTATCTTAGACTTAACTTGCTGTTTATTGTGATTGAAGCCACGACCCTCAAGGTGTTTTAACAAGACACTCCTTAAAGTGTCTGTCTCCGTGCAGTCTTTAGTGATCTGAGCTCCAGTTCTGATGGAGAGAAGCTCCTGCTTGCCATCTCAGCTGATTTTGTTCAAAAAACCAAAACTTATGGCTGTGTTTACTTTCATTTTCAATATAGTTGTCGGCCGGAGCTCAGCAGTAACTTCCTACGTCATCGTGGCGCGTTTATTAAACACACCGTTGTGGTAATATTACGCCAGTTTGGCGACACCTTGTGTCTTGAACAAAAGGCTAATGTGAGGCCCAGGCTGAAGCCTTGTTATTAATCAATATTTGCACTTTTATTTTAAATACAAAGTTTAAATTTGTTTGATTCCAACGGGAGAAATTTGTCTCATATTTTAAAAAATGTCTGGAATCTTAAAAACAAAGTTAAAAAAATCACTGTTGATGTTCAATAATTACTGTTATCAATGCTAATTAAAGATCATGTTAAACAACCAAGATCTCAGTTTCAGTCAAAATAATTGTTATTATCATTTTTGCCATAAATGAGCAGCGCTATTGACCATGATGGTGTTGTTTTTACTTTGACTGGAACACAATTAGATTAAGCATGTTGGTAATTTGTCTGAGTCAGTATGCTATTATTATATACAAGAATCTTAAAGCAAAATGACAAAAAGTTTTAGGTCTATGTTTGACATTGAAGCGCAGATTCAAGCAGCGATACGTTATTAAAATAGAAAACTGATTTTTATCTTTAGTTTGTTTTAGGGCTGAAACGATTCCTCGAGTACCTCGAATAATTCGAGTACAAAAAATCCTCGAGTCAAATTCTCTGCCTCGAAGCTTCGTTTAATTCATGTTTATTTAATTCATGGCTTTGCAATCGCTCGTGGTCATGTTTCACCCGGACCGAAATAAGTGACGCACACACACACTGCACTGAATGCACACGCGAATAGCGAACGCAACTTAACTTTCTTTAAAGCCATGGCGGACAACGTGGACCCCGGTGGAGGGTGAAAAAGACACAAAATGTCAAAGATGTGGGACCATTTTTCACGTCGTAAGGCGGAAAACGTACTCCAGTGTAAATACTGTAAAATGGGTTTAGCCTAGCACAACACCACATCCTCCATGCTGCAGCACCTGACCAGGAAACATCCACCTGTAAATGTCACTTCTGCAAGTGGACTCGGAGCCTCTGCAAGATAATGCATTTTAGCCTGTATTTCTATATATTCTGCGGACACTGTGCGACTTTTTCATTTGTAGCACTCAGTCTCAGCTCACACCGTACGTCTGATAGCAACACGTCGGACTTAAAATGTGCCAAAAATAGCAGTTTTACAACACGTCAGACTTTTTACTGTGTTATTGATGACCGTTGTCCCTCAGGTTTGCTTTAGGAGGACACAGGTATTTATGAGTGGCGGAGGAAAATGAAAGAAAGTAATTAAATGTTGTGTGATCAGTATAATTTGACATAACCACGGCAAACATGCTTTCGACAATCCTTGTTAGTGTGAGACAAAAAAAAGTGTAGAAATTAAAACGAACGTGTGTTAATAGGGAAACAGCTGGCGAGCCATGTTTGCGCATGCGCCGTGAGCGGTTCTGGTGCTGTTTGGGCCGCAGCCGCTCGCATTTGTTTACTGTGAAGTAAAGTTGAAGTGCTGAAGTTTTGAAAACTAATTTTGAATAAAACTTGAAGAATAACTGGCAATGGCTTTCTCATTTCAAGAGGTCTTTCATATTTTATAACATGCTATTTGATATAATGGTTTAAAAACGCAAAAGAGTAATTTATTAGAGTACTCGATTAATCGATAAAATATTTGATAGAGTACTCGATTACAAAAATATTCGATAGCTGCAGCCCTAGTTTGTTTCCATTCATAAAAGAACCAGGGCTTCCATTGGGCAACAAACCATATGTTGTTTATTATAATCAAGCAGTCAGACTGATGATCTTAACTCATTCACTGCCATTGATGACTAAAGTCGTCATTTTAGATCCAACCCTTCACTGCCAATGACGACTAAAGTCGTCAATTGCAATTTTTTTACTGTTTGGGCATCAAAACGAGCTCCGCACCATGAGAACAAACATCTCAGCTCTGAAGCCAATCTTCTTCCGCATACGTCACACGTCACATGATCAGGAAGCAGAAAATCCACGTGTTAGGAGATCGTTTTGGGCCATTCCTGTAAAAAAAAAAGTGAGGCACGAACTGGAAAAGCTTCTGCCGATCACAATTCAACAACGGATTATGAAAGAATGGATAACGCTCGACACACACAGATTCTTTCTGATGTAAGAGATGATTCTCCACTTTGTTTTGGTTGTTTTAGGCGTCAACATCATCCTAGCGCGCAGCGTTCTGTGATTCTTAAAAAAACAGTAAAAATGGCAAAAAAAACGCTGGCAGCGAAGGCCGTTAGGAATCAGGAAACGGCTGGCAGTGAATGAGTTAAGATGACTTGCTTCAACTCACAGAAATTTAAAAACATGGCTGTCATCAGGTGTTGCTGAGTGAAGCGTACATCCATTTTAAAATGTTGTGTATTCAGCGCAGAGTTGTACCTTTTTGTGGAGGCATTCAGAATCTGTCATTATTGATCTTTGTCAAACTGAGACTTTTTTTCAAGGTTATCATTCTGTCCAAAATCATTGAAAGGGTGGCTTTCAAGCAGATCACAGAATACCTCCCACAAAACTGTCTGCTTGACCCTTACCAATCTGGGTTCAAAAAGGGCCACTCCACTGAAACTGCTCTGTTAGCGGTGACTGAATCTTTAAAAGAAGCTAGATCGACTGCCAAATCCTCAGTGCTTATCCTGCTCGACTTATCAGCAGCATTTGACACTGTCAACCATGGCTTCCTTTTGTCCACACTCTCTAGCATGGGCTTCACAGAGAAAGCTCATGCCTGGTTTGAATCGTACCTTACGGGATGATCATTCAGTGTATCTTGGCTTGGACAATCTTCAACCATGCACCATTTTGCCACAGGAGTCCCCCAGGGCTCTGTACTAGGACCTCTTCTCTTTGCCATACACACCACTTAACTGGGTGTGATCATTTGATTACATGGCTTCACCTACCACTACTATGCAGACGACACCCAGCTCTATCGGTCATTTCCATTGGACAACCACACTGTCTCTGCACGATTATCAAATGGTCTCTCTGACATATCAAAATGGATGAAATTCCACCATCTCCAACTCAACCTCTCTAAAACTGAACTACTTGTCATCCCATCAAAACCATCCATACAGCACAATATCTCAATCCAAAATGACTTCCTATCTCTGGCTCCTTCAAAGGCAGTTCGAATCTGGGTGTTGTGATTGATGAACACCTGACCTTTAAAGATCATGTTGCCTCTGTTGCTCGTTCGTGCCGCTTTGCGCTGTATAACATACGAAAGATCAGACCATACCTAACACAACATGCCACCCAGCTCCTGGTGCAAACTACTGTCGTCTCCAAGACCCTGCTCTTCAGAGAGCATCTTCTAAACTAGCACCCTCCCTGCACCCGTCCCCCTCTCTACTGTACACTCCTTGTTCCCTCCTCTCCATGATTCATCATGCTGCCTCACTGCAACCAACGACTGACTGGAAATTGTTTGTTGTTGTTGTTGTTATTGTTGTTGTTCGCCTCAAGGGCAACATGCTGATTATCACTTGTAAGTTGCTTTGGACAAAAACTTCTGCTAAGTACGTAAACATAAACATCATTCCATCAAAATCTCATACCAGCCCATGCCTCCTCCCACTAAGAATGTGATCACTGGGTAATGTGATCTGAACAATGCATTCCATCTAATCTTGTTTAAACCATTCAAATAATTCACCGATTGAAATTATTTTTGTTGCTACGATCTTTCCTCTGACCCCAGTAATACAAGGATGTGCTCATCAGCAGTGGAGACAATTCAGAAACATTTTCTCTCCTTTCGCTCAATTTTTCTGCATTGGCGCTTCAGGCTGTGAAGGCTGTCATTAAACCAGGGAGTAGGGTTCACTGCAGGAACTGATCTGGTTCTGACAGGACAGATGTTGTCCAGAGTGGAGAGGCAGTGCTCGTTAAACTGAGAAGTTAAGGAATCTGGGTCGTTATCAGAAGATCAGGGTGGATCAAAAGCAGCAGAAAAATAGCTAGCTGTGCTCTCTTTAAGAAAACGAGAACTAACCATACGGCGAGCAGGAGGTGGGGATGCAGAAACTGACAAGTTAAAGAAAATGCAATGGTAATCTGAAATATAAACGTCATTAGGACAAACACTGTCAGCATTTAGACTCAGGGTAAAACAAGGTCTAGAGTG